TTGGTTTTTGATTTAATTATTTTTAAATTAACTATTATTTTAAAGTATAAAATACACAAAAATTTAAAAATATTTTATTGATAAAAATTTATAGTAAGGAGTTTAATTCTTTTGAATTAATCTATTACTATTACTACATTATTTATTCAATTATATTTTTTTATTTTTATTAAATTTGAACTTAAGTTAAGCTTAATCCTAAAAGCTATTTTTTATAAAAAAAAATAAAAAATTATAAAAATACTAAAAATGTAATACTTATTTAAATCTAAAAAATAGCAAACCTAAATTTAGCAAGGAAAGTTTTTAAAAACTTATAATATTTTTCATATAATTTAATAATACTAATGTATTAAATTATATTAAATTTTATAATTTTAAAAAAAATACTCTCTGAAAACAGTTTTTTAAGATTGTAACACAATAACTAATAAATGCATTTAATTATTTTATTTTTATTAAAATTATTATTAATTTTTAAATTATACCTATTTTAAAAAATTACATAATAAATAATAGAGAAAAAATAAAAATAAAATTTTAAAATATTAATTATCTTAAAATAAAATTAGAAAATAATTATATCTTAATATTATAAAATGATTATTATTTATAAAAAATTATATTAATTAAAAATAAATTTAAAAATTAAAAATTTCTACTATATATAACTTCTTATTTTATACAAAGTGGTACATGTTTAAACAAATATGATTTTTTACTAACTACTTTTCAGTGATGGATTTGGATCTTTTGCAATTTTAGAAGAAACTATGGTCTATAGTTCAAAATTTGTTTAAGAAAAATAAAATTTGCTTCAATGAATTTAGCACAAAATAATTTTTACATAAGAAAAAAATTTTACGTAAGTGAATTTAGTAAAAAATTAATTTTCACTTAAGTCAAAATTGTAAAAAATTTTAAAATTTTATCTTCTTTCTCTCTAAACTCAAGAAAATTTAAGGAACTTTTTTTTCTCATCAATAACTACTTAGTTACTAAAGACCTTTACATATATCATTTTACCAAATATTTCAAATGTATTGTATTACTTATGCTAAACATTAATGAGATAGAAATATTTGGAATCAAGTTAAATGGTTAATAATGATGATAAAAATTATAAGAATGATAATTTTGAGAAATTGATTAAAAAATAATTACATTATTACATGTTTTGAAATATTTAAATTTTTATGGTATGATCATAAAGTATGATTACATGATATTTTATAAATATTTTTCAACTTTTCTGTAATTTAAAGAAAAAGAGGATAAAATTTTAAATTTTTTTATAATTTATTACATATTTTGAAACAATTAAATTTTTATAGTATAACCATAAAATGTGGTCACATGATATTTTACAAATATTTTTTAACTTTTCTGTAATTTAAAAAAAAGATGAAATTTTAAATTTTTTTGTAATTTTAGCTTAAGCAAAATTTTTTGCTTAAAAAAATTATTTTTTTACTAAATTCTCTTAAACAAATTTTTTTTCTTAAATAAAAAATACTTTTTACTAAATTTATTTAAGTAAATTTGTTTTATTTAAAGAAAGTTACACTGCATACTCTATTTCCCTCTAAATTGCAGAGGATCTGGATGCCTTACATTTAAATGCCTCGCAGATTTTGAGGGAAGTGATGTGACAGTACATTTATATGTTGTTAAGAGTGTTTGGTAAGAGCAATTGTAAGAGGGTGACTTTGTAGAGTGAGGGAGTGAAAATAGGTGATGATGTGGTTGGTTTATCGTAACCTCCCAAACATGTTGAAGGCCTTGGCCACAGTTGTTTGTACCATTGATGATTATTGCAGCAGATACTCTCATAGTTCCTGTGCATGCTCGCAAAACTGTGCTGTGTTCAAAATGACTTGGGCAATGGCGTTGTTCTCAATCTCCATTGTCGATCAAGGGACGATGATCTTGGCCTGCATGCATGTTCTTCAAAATGGAAACTACCAAGAGTGGTCCTTCAAAAATAACCTTCGTGGTACTACTCTCTTTTGGTGCTCCTTGCAATGGAAGAATCAGCAACAAAGCCTTGAAATTTATAGTTACGAACACGATGATACAGATTGTGAAACCAAATGCTGGCGAAGTATTAGATCAGATGGAGCATATTTTTATTTAGAGTACGAAGATTTTTGGGTGCAGAGATACCTGTGGCAATATAGACTTGACTTAAAGCTAAAGGGAAAATAAAATTAATCTCCGCTTAAGTCATTTTGTTGCATGTTATTTGTGTTTGTATAATTTTTTTAAATTCTAATATATTCACTTAAGCATACATATTCGCTTAAGCGGATATGTATTCACTGAGAAATTTAAATCTGGGCTCATGCCTTGTCACTATTCGCTTAAGCCAATTCAAATTCGCTTAAGCCATTTTGTATGCCTGAAACCATTGTTCTCTGCATGAAATTCGCTTAATATTAATTAAAATTGTTGGTCAAGGCTTAAATGAATCTATAATAGCTTAAGCGATTTACAATCTGCTGAAGCGAAAAGAGTTATTGAAATGCATGTCTTTCTGGTCCATTTTCGCTTAGGTTTAATTATTTTCACTTGGAAGAGCTTAAGCTAAATGCAAATCGCTTAAGCAAAATTATGGACTTAAGCGAGACATGATTTATGTTTCTTGTGGCTGGCTTGGACGCGCTTTTAAGCCCTTTCACCATTTGTTTAAGCCTTTTTTTTCGTTTAAACGAATTTGCTCCAAATTTTACTTAAACAAAAAAAATCCGCTTAAGTAAAAATAGATCGCGCCCTATAGTTCCCGCCAAGGATCCAAACACTACTAAGTATTAAAATACTTGTGGTAATAAATAGACTTGTCTAGAAGCTTTAAGCCATTATTCGTATACATGCTAAAACTTTACTAATAAAAGCAAGCCTTCCCCCCCTTTTTTTTTATAACATTTTCCCCATTATTAATTATTTATTGTTTAATTTATAATTTAAAATAGCTAGTTATCTCTATCCCAATCTCACTTTTACAAACTTTCTAAATATAATACTTAAATATATTTTTACTTTCTATATATTTTGAAAATTTAGTTTTAAGTTTTTAATTTTTATATTTTTATAAATGGTTAATTTTGGTCACTTTTAATTATGTAACCATAAAAAATTAACATTTGATACAAAAAAATGATATATGACAATCTTTTAATTAATGATCTCATTATTTAATAATTAACGTAATAAAGGAGGACTCTAATGATGTCTTCTTTGACCACCGATACCTCATTCAACGTTAATAAATATCATAACTGGTGAGATTAAATACTGGATTAAATTTTATTTCTATCTCATTAATATATGTCTTGGAGTAATAGCTGTTTTTTTTCTTAAAATATCATTTATTTAATAGCTGGAAAAACTAATGATGTACTATTAACTATTTGAGTTGAATTCAGTATTTATATTATTTAATACAAAATATTTGATTTTTCAATGTATCATTAAATTATGTAATTTTATTTCATAATTATATCAAATATCACATAACTTGAATATTTATAAATATATTATTTAATAATTAATATTTATTTATATGGTAATAATATATAACACATTAAAATTAAGTAACATTATCAAATAATTTTAGTTTTATTTTGTATAAAGTTTTATAAATTTAATTTATATGATAACATTTTTTAAAATTTTCAGTTAAATTGATAAATTTAATAATTTTTAAAAATTCATTAAGCAGTATATTCTTTTATATATATATATATAAAGAGGAATATTAAGGTATGCTAGTTTAAACTATAAGTAAAGAGGAATGTTAACACACTTATAATTATTTGTTGAAATTTATTAAAAATTACAATACGTAAAAATAAATAATTTTATAGCGAGGCTTGTATAATTTTTATGATTTTTAATAAATTTTAGTTAATAATTAAAATTGTGTTAAAAATAATATATTAAAATGATATATAGATTTCATTTATTGTAAGCAAAATATAAATGAAATATAATCAAATACCTATTATATTTTGATGCTACTTAATGAAATTATCTATATAAAATACTTTTATTAAATTTAAATTATATTTCCAATGAATTTCATACAACCTTAAATTGAAAGAGAAATTTCTTTGAAATTAGTTACTAAAATTTAATTATCTTCCATTATGATGTAAATAGCTTCTTAATTTCATAGCTTGAGTTTAACATTTAAAGTAGAAACTTAAAACATCAATTAATGATATTTAAATTATATTGAAGTTCATATTAAAAAGTATAATTGATTTTAAATTTAAGAGCATTATATAAGATTAACTAATTTTTTAAATAGTATAATTTAATTATTTTTTGCTTATATTTAAAATAGAAAAGAGTATGTATCTAAACTTGATACACACACATGACTATTAAAAGTTTATTAATCACATGAACCAAAAATAAAAATAAAAAAAAAGATTCATTTTAATTCAAAATATTCATCATTAAATATAAGGATTTTTTTGCTGAAAAATTAAGATAAAATTTAAAAATAATTATATGTTTTTATATTATTTTTATTTAAAATTAAAGTTCTATATAATAATTTAATTATAAAAAAACATATATTATTAAAATAAGATTTTAATTTTAATTGAAAAACGATGATAAAAACACATGTCGTATCCTTACAGTTAAGCATGTATGTCCTTATGAAATACTAATAAAATTCACCTGATCATATATGAGTGTCCTAAATATATTAATTAAATAATGAAAAATATTTTTTTTACAATAGTATAACATTTAATATATTTTTAATAAAAATATTTATTTATCAATAATTTTTATTAACTTTCGTTCTCAAGACAGTCTGAGTTTAAACATTTAAATATTGTAAATTTTTATTAAAAACATATTATTCATGTTAAAATTATAAATATGTAATAAATATATTTTTAAAAATTATTATCATTAATTATTTAAACTCAATTTTAAGAGCTAAAATTAACAATTTTTTTTAATGGAAGTTATAAGTATGATCAAAATTTGTTTACCTTGAGCATAGCAATTTTGAAATTGTTATCAGAGCACTGAAATTGATCACCAATATTTAGTTTATTCATAAATTAAAAAAGTGATTACAAGTTGCCTTCTATTGAGAGAGCAAGTATTTTTTCTTCCCCCACCATAAACATACAAGGAAAATGAACATACAGCCTGCGAATGCACCGCCAGTTGTAGCCCAAAACTGATGAGGTTGACCATCAAAGAGGTCGATGTGAATATTCATCCCAAACAATCCTGTAACTACAATACCGCCATTAACTATCATGTTTAGTGTGTTGAATATTATTGCTACCTGTAAAAGCTGATTTTGCTTATCATCCAACATTATGTTGATGTAGTCTTCTGTATCATCCACGTACTCCCTCAACTTAACCAAGTCACAAACACGTGCATAAGTGAGTACAGCACATACATAATTATTAACATTCTCTTCTTTTTTCAACTGATTTTTTAATGATGTAGCTGATCATTCATAATACATAATAAATACTTCTTTTTTCAAACATGTTTCCCTTAATGTTAGTATTTAAAAGGATACATGAGTTCAAGAGATACTTACACTAGACAATTTTTGTAAAATTCCATTTGTCTGTGCAAAATATGCTTCCAGAAGCATCTCCAATTCCTCAACGTCAAGTTTAGGACCGTGGAATTTGTCTAAATTTTCTGAATTTGATTCATCGCTACAAACAGATTCGGATCTTTGATCGTGTTCTTCAAATTCATAATCGTATCCTTCTTTGCACGATGCCTCATCCAATGAGCTGGCATTAAGCTTTCGTGTCAAGTACATTTCAGCCATGTCGTTATCATCGTCCAGCAAATGTTCTAGTTGATCTGCTACCTGTAAAATTCAAGACTAGAATTAGTCCTGTTTAATTTGGAGAAGAGCATAGCTTTACATCAATGATAGCCAAAGTAAGAAAAAATATATTCAATAATGCACTTAATTTTAGCATGATTTTCAATAAAACTTGCTATTTACTGATTCATCGCTTAATTGATTAGCATGATCTTTAAATATATCAAAATGAGGTTTGTAGTACGTTCTTAATAATTTTTTTATTACTTTATAGAATAAATATTAAATAAAAGAAGTATATGCATTTATTATCTTTAAAATATATAAAATATATTTATCATTTTATTCATTTAGTAATTTGAAAATTTTATAAGAATATAATATAAAAATATTAAAATTATTCTATTCAAATAATCCAAGCATAGTAGGTAGGCTATATAACTTGCAGTTGGGGGGAAAAATTAAAGGCTTATTTGTGTAGAGTGCTAAGCTCCGTTTCACGTTAATTAAAAGAAAAAAAATTGAAAAAACTATGATTTCAATGTGATATTTTGTTTAAGAAAGTGTATAAACTCAGTTTCGATATTTAACCAAAAAGGCAGTAAACATGCTCATACAGTAACTTCTTAAAACAAACTACAAATCTAGGCACAGTGCAGCATCTCCTTGAGATTTTACGTTTTGATATTCACAATTTAGATTTTATGTTCCTAGCTACTCGAAATCCTTGATAATTATACAGAAGGAACCATAGAACTTCCTAGCTTTATTAATTTCAAAAATTAAACTTGCATAGACCAACCTATTCTCCAATTGCATAGTGGGAAATAAACTAGGCTAAATTGAGTGAAGAGGAAAGCAGGCAATGAAACTAGAACTTGCTCACAAGAGTGTTTGTAAACTGCAAATTACAGTCCAATCACTCACATTTGAAGATTAATCATAATTCTTTTCACTCAGTTTGCACCTTTCTTCATGACTCGTTATAGCTGTTCTAAGATGCAACGAGATTTCTCTCTCTTGTTGCCCCATTTAGTTATAACCCAGAACATTCAAATCTTACTCCTTTCTCTTTATATACACCCGGTGGGCATGTGAAGGTTATAAGTTAGTATGAAACACGAAAGGCCCACATTCTTTATGGTTGCATGAACTTCTACACAAGTTCAGAGCTAGTGTTTTTGTTACAGCATCCATGTCAGATGAATGAAATGTTGTGGTAAGTGGTTAATCTCAAATCCATTTTGCACCATTGTGCTAGATTAACACACAAAATGGAACCATTAAAAAACATGCCAAAAGGTACACCATGCACAAAGTATTAGTTGCCTATGAATCACCCAACTTTGCATTGGCTTGCGGTTTAGCAAAAAAAATCTTTCTTAAAATAAGGAATATATAAATTTTATTTTCTCAAGGGAATACAAGTTAAAAGAGTTTTAAGCAACAGGGCAGTGCATAAGAGTCAAGACAGCTTGCAGCTAACTATAAAAGATGATCATATAGAGGAAATTCATTTTCCAAAATTCTTAATATAAAATTCATTAAATGTGCATACATGGTGCCTGATGTTTGTGAATAATATTTACCTTTTGCACGCGGCCAGAAAGTGCAACCAAACGACTCTTAATTTGTCTTACGCGTTCAAGATTGAGTGTGCTAAGTTTAGAGGTCAGTTCATCTAAAGCCGGGTAAGCCTCTTTCTCCAATGCCGAAGTCTGATAAAGGTAGAAGTCATGACGCTTATAAGCATATTCAATTCACTAGGATCTATGCTTACTGAATAAATAATAAAGAAAGGATCAAAATAAACATATTCATTGAAGTATTAATATGTATTCATACAATAAGATTGAAGTATGTATTCGTTAAAGATATTTTATCTTTGAATCCACCAAAACCCTAACCACAAATGGAGTAAACGCAATTCTATAAATGAACAAATTAAATAAATTACATACAGACCTCAGATTCTAGGCACCTGCAAGCAGATTCGATACATGCTTCAAGTGCTCTGAACTCAAAAGGTAATTGCTTAGGAGCTGGTGCTAATGATACAATCCCTGCACTGATCTTAGGGTTATCCGCTCTTATTTCAAGGTTTGGCGTGTCTTGAAAGGCATTAGAGTCCTCAGATATTCTCAAAGGCGAACCGTTTAGTAGAGGTTTTTCTTCATTACCACCGTCCATGCCATTGCTCATCTATGCAATGAAGTAAAATTTTTCACTGGCACCATAAAGATATCGAAAATGGATTTTTTTATACAAATTTTTGGGACAACTTACTCTTTCAATGTACTTTTGAGAATTATGCATATAAATAAGATAAAAAAATAAAAGAGGAATAAAAAAAATTATAGACAAATGATAACCACTGCATTCATTAAGAATTTAAAATTAAAATTTTTTGTTAATGTATTTTTAATGTACTTCTCTAATTTAATTTTTAACAAAAATTTTCATCGTTAATTCTCAAAAGACTCTAATTAGCAAGACTCAAGTTTATATACCGTATTGATTTTGGGTTCTTCAAATATCAGAACTGTAAACATATATCACCATGCATGATCACGTAGATAATTTTTGGTTCAGTAAAAGATTATTAGCTTTTTGGGGTTTTTTCAAAAAGTATAAATATAAGAAAAAATGGACGTACCGAGGATGGGGTTTGGTCAGTGGGAGAATTAGGAAGATGGGTGTGAAGATCTTGAAGGAAGCGAAGAAAGAAAGAGTTGGAGGAGTTGATGAGGAGGATCTCGGAGGCAGTGATAATGGCTTTGATGTGTTCCAAGTTAACAACAATGGCTGCGTCGCGTCCAAGGATGGAAGAAGGGTGAGACAACATGGGATCGAGGACCCTAAGATCACGCGCCGGTAACCCAGTTCGCCTCATTATGGAGTGTTTCCCAACATCTTCGAGGTGTGCCTCCCCTGTCTCCGACACCACCATCCAACTCTTCACTCCTTTTATTCCCACACCCTTTCGCCTCATATTCATCAGCATTTTTTCTTTCTCTTCCTCCACTATCCGCCTCAACCTACCCCTCTATTTAAATCCCCGATACCAATCTTTTATCTATCTATTCACTTCAACAAACTACCCTAGTTACACTACAACCACCTTTTTCCCTTTTTAAATGTTTGATTTGATGATAAGATGCTCGCTAAATTAGGGTATCGATCCGTTCCTATAACTCTTTCATGATCAAAACTAGTCAAACTTTAATATACGCTGTAACTTGTTCATTATCAAATCAATTTAATTTCATCTAATGAAATGATATTCAATTGGGTTGTATTTCGCCTTTTATATTTCATATAAGAGTACATCTACTTTTCTTTCTTTTATTTTTTTATTAAAACTTATTTTTTTAATTTATAAATTATTGTATATTTCAGAATAATAATATCATTATTTGTTACTAAATAATTTTTATGAATGCTCACGCGAAAGAAGGAAAACACAAGTTAATAGCATTTCAGTTAATTAGTTCAAAGTAGAAATTTTTTTGTGCCAAACATTAAATTAATTTTTTTTTCAGAAATAATTAAAAATATATTATATTATTAATTTTTAATATTAGTTTAAAATGTTTTCCTTTCAAAATACTTCTTAAACGCTCTTACTACTCAGTAATTGCATATACAAGATGAAGGGTGATAACAACACAATGATGTAACAAATTGTGCTCTAACATTTAAAGTATAATTAATTAAAAATTCCCGTCTAAAATTTAACTACAGTTTTAACCTTTAATTTAAATTTAAATTTAAAATTTATACGTTACTAACTTGTTTACAGTTTTATTATATCTTGAAATATATAAATATAGATAATTATCAATTTTGTAATATTTTTAATTCATTAATAATAATTCTGTTTCTGTTTGGGAAACACTTGTCTTCTGATTTTTGCTCTAGGATGTAGACATCCTTCTGACTATTGCTAATGTGGGAAGCGTACCTGCAAAAGGCTCTCCGATGCTGAAGTCAGGATTCGGTATTAAGTAATAAATGCTATTTAATAATGAAAAATTAACATTTTATTTGTACTTCGTACCTTCCTTATATAGGCACTGTTATGGGCTAATGGGCCTGTTGAATCAGCCTTGATTTTGGCCCTTTATTTAAAGTAGATAATATTCTGATTATTACCCTTAATTGGATTAATTACCTTTTAATCCTGACAAAGTGTATCCGTCCAAACTAGGCCAAATAAGTACTCCTTTTCCTTTTCCTACAGGTAGGACCGAGTAGTTCCTTATCCAGTACACTAGCTCCCCAAGCCCGAAGAGGTACGAAGCAAGGGCTGAATAATTACAAGTACCAAAGGCATTTAGACGAGGGGGTGTTTGGTTTCAATAAAAAGTAGGTGGGCCGAATAGGAACTCAGTTTAAGTAACTTCAAATAGTACGAAATAAGAAAAATAGGTATACCGAGGAGAGGTACTTGGTTTGAAGAAAATAAGTAGACGACTAGGTGCTTGGTATATTGAAGGGTGTATACTGAAGGGGTATTCGCTTTAGTAACCAAGGTAGTAGAGAGAAGAAATTATATTAAAAAATTGATAAAAATACTAGAAAAAGATTATTCTAGAACTTAGCTTTTAGGGTTTCCTCGATGGTGTGTAAAAGACGAAGGGGTGCTCGATCTCAACCATTCAATTTAGAAGAGATCTGACGGTTCAGAGGGGAGGCGACCCTTCGTATGCCCGAAAGAATATGTCCTATAAATACATGGTGGTCCAGGCCCTTATTTTCACTTTCACTCCAAACTGAAGGGTATACATATTATTGTGTTCCGAAGAGTGTTTGCTTTTGCTTTGTACCGAGAGGTGTTCTGATTTTTAAAGGTTTTTCTCCCCAACCGACTACCTGCAAGGTACATTTAGTAATCCTTCTTTTCTCTCTGTTAATTTACCATGGCCGAATCATTGGAATGGGAGGATTCCCTGTCAAATACTTCAAGGCCAACTACTGTCGAAGTAGATATCGTAAATGAAATTGAAGGGGGTGGTGAAATTTCATCAAGAGCAAGAAGGGTGAATGAAGCGGGAGAAAGAACCCAAGTTAGAGAATGCAGTAGGAAAGTCGAGTCGTTTAATTCTAGTGATACTGACTCTTCTGAACCATTACCGAGTACAAGCCCCCTAGGGAGAGACCAGTGTTCCCCCCTGTACAATACCTGAATAAGAGTGGATACACGGTGAAGTGGCCACGTACTTGTCTCATTTTAGGAGGAATAGGATCTTCAATTTTTTGTTGATCATTGTGAAATTACCTTATGGGAACCTTCTGACCCGTATCCCATATACCTCTATCCTTGTCGAGGAGACAAAATCGAGGACCATGAATTTGTCTTTTGGGGGGTGTCGAGATGGTCGATACTTTCTTCATGTATGAATATATGTTTAGAAAATTAGGTATTAGGTTACCTTTTGATGACTTCCAGATGGGAGTATTAAGGGTTTTGAATGTAACGTCAACACAACTCCATTCGAATGGGTGGGCGGCGATTCAGGCTTTTAGGGTACTATGTAAGTTTCACTATATAGAACCTAGCATATGTTTGTTTCTTCATTTCTTTTGTATTCGTCCTTCGGATTAAGCAAGGTGGGTATCTTTAATAAGACAACCTGAGTTGCCCTTATTCAAACTGTACGTGTCATCTTTCAAAGGTTTCAAAACCGGCTACTTTAAGGTAACCGTGCACCCCGTAGGTAAAAATTAATCCCCTTTTCCCATTTTATTGGACCCGAGTACCCCGTTGGTACGACCTTCTTCCAGAAGATATGTTGTCGGCTAAGGAGCTATCGGCCTTAGAGTATTTGAAATCTCTTCCCCGGAAGCTTCCTACCCGAAAGATACTTCTAGTATTGAAGTCTCCCCGTCCTTGTCTGAATATGGAGGGTACGTTTCGTCCTTATACTTAATTTTTAATTCAAGTTGTATTGATTTGACTTGTTATTTTTATTATCGGTCTGATGGCTTAACGAGGTGTTAACGTGCCAACTTTTCGTCAGACCTTGAAGAAGAGAATGCCGAAAAACACACCAGTTGAGGAACACCGAAACCCTCAACTTGACCATCTCCCAGAGGTGATCGAGCCTCGCCCTCCTCCCCGAGACCTTGTCCTCGTGGAAAACCAGTTCAAGAGGCGTAAGGACAAAGGTAAAAGCAAGGAACCCGAGAAGGAGAGAAAAAGAAAACATGCCCATTTGGCTGGGCCGAGTGGTGCAGAGGGGGCGCGCAAGCAAACCCGAATTGCTGCTATTGCGGGGGTCAGCAGTTCTTCCAACTCGGTAGTTCCTTTAGCTATGTTTGCTGAGTCCTTCTTAGCTCCTGGGACACATACTGGTCAGGTAGCTGCCCCTGATTTGCTTTCTGATTCGGGGAGGGAAGTAGTCGACAACCTAGACCTCAAATCTCAGTGGCATTGCTATGCGGAGCTTCAAGTGTGATCTATGACTATGCTCTGAAGACTAGTTGTGGATCCTACTCTTGAGGTGAAGAATGTCCAGAAAGCGTACTCGACTTCTCAATAATCCTTGGCTGAAAGTAAAGAGACTCAGTCGAGCCTTGCCAAGACCATCCAATCGCTGGAAATTGAGGTTACTCAGTATAAGGAGCACTACCGTATAGAAGAAGGTCGAGTCCAGGCCACCGAGGAGGCGCTGAGGGTTAAGGAGGAGGAGGTGGAGGCGCTGAGGGTGAAGTCTTTAGAGATGGAGAAGGCCCTAAGGGCCAAGTCAACTGAAATGGAAGAAGCCCTGGTACTTGAAAGGCAGAGAGCTGAGGCCAACATGAAGGCTTTTGCCTAGAAGTGTTCACAGCAAGTTGCTTTTAAACATGAGTCCAGTTTTAACCATGTTGTTCGTCAATGCTATGGATTCTGCCAAGTCCCGGCCGACTTCCATTTCAATCTCACTAAAGACTTCTTCGGCGATAAGTTTTTACCATATAATGAAGTAGATGATGATGTGGAACCTGACGCCGAAGCCCCGAGCCAAGCTGTAGATAATGAAAATGCTCCTGGTCCTAAGGTCCCCGGTCCTGATGCTGGAGAGGGGGGATTTAGAAGTCTTTTTCTTCTTCTTTTTTATCATGGGCCGATAGTGCCCTAATTTTGTAATCCACATTACACTTTTTGCAATACAAATCCTCTCATTTTTCTTATATTCTTGTGTGCCTTTGTATTTGAATCTTTGTTAAATAAGTTAAGTATAATCGGATGCTTGTTATAATCTGAATACTTTATTATGACTGAAAATATTTATCACGTTTCAACCTTAGCCGAGTAGGGGTACTCGAGAGGGTATCCTTATAAAGTTCATCTTCGACCGAGTAGAGGTACTCCGAAAGGAAATAATAAATTTGACCTTGGCTAAGTAGGGATACTTGGGAGGGAGTTGTTAATAATGAGTCATCCTTGGCCGAGTAGGGGTACTCAGGAGGGAAATAATAAATTCAACCTTGGCCAAGTAAGGATACTTGGGAGGGAATTTAAATTAATTCATCCTTGGCCGAGTAGGGGTACTTGGGAGAGAAATAATTAATTCAACCTTGGCCAAGTAGGTATACTTGGGAGGGAATTTAAATTGATTCATCCTTGGCCGAATGGGGTGACTCGGGAGAGAAATAATTAATTCAACCTTGGCCAAGTAAGGATACTTGGGAGAGAATTTAAATTGATTCATCCTTGGCCGAGTAGGGGTACTCGGGAGGGAAATAATTAATTCAACCTTGACCAAGTAAGTATACTTGGGAGGGAATTTAAATTGATTCATCCTTGGCCGAGTAGGCCAAGTAGGTATACTTGGGAGGGAATTTTAAATTGATTCATCCTTGGCCGAGTAGGGGTACTCGGGAGGAAAATATTTAATTCAACCTTGGCCAAGTAGGTATACTTGGGAGGAAATTTTAAATTGACTTGAAGATAACTAAATAGTTCGTAAAGGAGAGTTTTATTGATAATGTGCCTCATTAAAAACC